GAATTGTGTCGATGTCCCAATATTTCTGGACCTGACTGTAAGTTCTGACCTTTAACCATAAATAACTAGTAATCATTATTAGATGGAGAACTCATTTTCCAAGCCAGTTCCAGAAAGTTCAGAAAACAGAATGATAAACTGTAAGGGTTGGAAGGGGCTTTGGTCCAACCATTTTTCCAATGCAAGCATCCATTAGAAATGGCCATCCAGATTCTGTTTTAACAGCTGCTATGAAGGAGAGGACATTACCTGCCAAAGCAATTTGCTTCTTTGTTGAACAGTTCTTGATATTAGGGAGTTCTTCTTGATGTCCAATAAAAAATTCCTTTCTTGCAATTGTAAACTATTTGTTTCTTGTCTTTTGGAAGAACGCTGAACAAGTCTAATCCATCTTCTACAGCACTTCAGGGTTCTGAAGACACCTCTCATGTCTCCCTGCAGTCTTCTCTTCTCCAGTTGACATATATCCAGGGTCTATTACTTATACGTTTTTTTCTTTCAAGCTCCTTATCTTGGTTGCTCTCCTTGGAACACACTCCATTTTGTTAGCCTTTCCAAAGCTGTAATGCCCAGAATTGGACACAGTATTCTAGGTCAATGGCTCTTAAACTGGAGGTAATTTGGGCATATCTTGGGGATAATGGAGCAATTTATAATTGCTTTTATGTGAGTCAAGGATCCAGTTTGGGATTGCCACTGCTGAGACCCTTGTATAAAACAACAGTCTGTTTTGTATGTGTGTGGGTTGGGGGGTGGGGGGTTAATTACATTATTTGAGTCTGGGTAATTGGTTCAAAAAGTTTGAGTTCTAGAGTGTTTTATGTTCTAGGTGTTCTCTGACCAATACAGAATAGAGAGGAATAATAACTTCTCTTGATCTTGACATTTGATTCTCTAGATATAGCCTTGGCTTGCATTTGCCTTTGTTGCAGCTGCATGACAGTCTTGGCTTAAATTCAGCTTGTGTTCCACCAAGACACATAGATTCCTTTTGCCTGTACTGTTGATTGGTACGATCACCCTAATCCTATATTCATGCCTTTGATTTTCTGAATCAAAAGAAGGGCGTTGCATTTATCTATGTTGAAACTCACATTGATGGTTTCTGGTTTGTCAAGATCCTTCTGAGTCTTGATACTGGCCTCACCTATCTTTGTGTTTTCTGCAAATCTGTTTTTTCTAACCCCTTATCCAAATTGTTTTAAAATATATTGAACAGCACAAGACCTAAAATAGAGAACTGCAGAATGCCATCTGATACTTCCAGCTTGATACAAAACACTTGATGTACCTTTACTAGGTACAAGTGCTCAACCAGTTCTTTATCCATAAATGGTAGTCCAGGCCACATTTTCCCTTCTTCTTTACTAGGACCTTATACAGAAACTTTTTGAAAGCCTTGTTCAAGTCACGATATACTTGCCCATCATACTCCTATGGTTAACTAGATTGATCACACTATCAAAAAAGAACAGGTTGGTTTGACATGACTTATTCTAGATAAACCAATGCTGGCTACTGCCAAGCAATGCCTTCCTGTTATCCACAAACTGCTTAATAATCTAGTATTGATAACAAGCATTTCTACTTATTTCTTTATTACATATATTTATACTGCCTAGCCCATATAACTCCTGGTTGTTTACAATGCAATATTTTTGAAATTTGGAACAAGAGTTTCCCTTTGACAGCCTTCTACCACTATGCTAGTCCTCCTTGATCTCTCAAAGATCATAGAAAGGGCCTCTGATGACAGTCATAAGTCCCTTCAAGGCTCTTTTGATAAGGTTAATCATCTGTTATTGTTAAGGTTCTGACAACTGAAACTCATCCATGGTAGCCATGTGCTTCCTGACGATCTCTTTAGTTACTTTGAGTTGCCAACCCCTCTTTTAAGTCATTCTGACTTAACTGCCATTGCCATGATTAGAGGATTTGGGTGATGGCGGACATTACAGGAGAGTTATTTTTTAAGTTGCTCCTAGGAATGACATACTATACTGAAATTCATTGCATGGAAAATAGTGTACGTGCACTTCTGGCTCTCATGTGATTGCTTCCACTCATTGTGCTTTCGTTTGTTGCAGATCTACATGAATAATGACTATTAAGTTGGAACTGTTTGCAGAAACTGGCCTTTGGTCAATTCACTTTAGGAAGACATCATAAGAGTCTGCTAAATGTAATCTCTTGTGTGAATAGTGAAAGTTTATATTCTATTAAGAAGTGCTCAGGAATTCTGTATTCTATTACATGTGCTGTTCTGCAGAACTAAGAAATTGAACTTTTCCTCTGGAGCTTCTCTCAGTTTTGTTTTGTTTGTTTTAAAGAAGAATTCCATGCTTTTGAAAATTTTCATAATTCAAAAATAGGTTGCTGTGTTTTAGGGGAGAAGTGGTCTCATGGCATCCCACCGAGATCTTTGTAACCTCTACCCTTTGTTTCTCCTTTTTAAAACAAATTCTATTCCCCCTCTCTAAGCTAAATAATGAGCTTTTATTATATATTTATACCAGTAAAAAGAAATATTGGCACATTATTTTTAAAATCTCTTTAATATTCTACTTCAGTGCCCAGTATTGTACTTTGTGCTTTTTTTGTTTTAGCTTTTTAAACAGTGTTCTGCCAACTTTGAATTGTTTTACAAGCCCATCATGCTTTTTGAGAATGAAAGTAATTTCAGGCCCAAAGCAGGCTCGGGAGATGCAAAGACGCCAAAACACAACTCGTGTAATGCAAGTGGACTTAGTTGCTGGTATTGTCATTTCCTCGCCTTTAAAGTTATTGGGGGTCTACATTATGGGATCTGAAGAGGATTTCCTTGTTCCAAGTTCTATAAAGGAAGGGATACTTACAAGTTAGAGTGGTTTGTAAAAGATGGAGGAAGAGAGAATGGTAGTATGGCTGATAGATACATTCCCCTTTCTTGGCTTAGAAATACCTCCAGAAAAGGAACATGCAAACAATGGTCATATTCAGATCTAAAGGTAAACAATGTTTAGTCATCAGTGGTAAGTCTCAGGCTCTCCTTCTTTATGTGCAAAGGGAGGATGGAAAGCTTCAGCCCCTGCTTTTTAACAAACCGCAGTTTGATGTCAGTTCTGTTTGTCCAGGTATACTAACAAACGATGGTTTCTAAAGTTCAAACCAACCAGGAAACTGCAGCAAATTGAAAGCCCAAAGGGAAGCTTCATAGTTTCCCTTTTTGTGGGAATTACAAGTTGGGGGTGAGAACGTGCACAAGCCTAAAACGATAGCTTGGTCATGCAGTCGTTGTGATGTTTTAGCATCTCATTGCAACTATAGCAAGGCCTCTACCCCACTGCATGTGCAGAGTATGCCTTTCATCGCATGAAAATTAGGAGGCTGATAGCTTACAGTTTTTATAGGTGACAGCAGTATTGTCGCGTAGGAATGGGTCACTCTGTTTAGAGCTTCTACTCTTCCAGGGCAGAAAAAAAAATGAAAGTTGCACCTGACATAATACTACATGCAACTTCCTCATAATTTATGTCAATGTTATGCGTAACACCACTAATGCAAATAAAATCCAGGGTGGGGAGCTGCTGCACTAGGTTGAAAAATATTCCATATCAGGTGGCTGGCTTACACACACACACACACACTCCATGCCCACTCCACTCAAATAATTATGGTACAAGTGTTTGACACTTATATGAAAATATAGATAGCATATATTTTGACAGTATATTATCCTGAAGGGCTAACTGATATTAAACATAGCAGAGTGATATCAAGAATTGAAGAGGATTGGAAAAATAGGAAAAATCAATATAGTAATATGAGTACACAAATATCAGTGGTGAACTTTTCCCTTCGTGTTTAAAAAAGGGGTTACAGGTGCTTCCTTGGCCATCCAGTCCAAAAAATGCAATTATTTATCCTGATGCATGAGATTTCCTATTTGTGTTTAATGTTACCTACTCCTTTAGGGTCCCATTTGCAAGTGACTTGTTCTGTGTATTGTGTTTCTTTATAGAATCAGTTTGCCCAACGAGAATTCCTGTGGCATCCCGGGACGAAAAAGGATTTGATATCCTTTTAGGCTTAGATGTGAAAAAAAAAGTGAAGAAAAGAATTCAGATTCCAAGCACTAATGCAAAAGCTTATGAAATCACTTCACGGATTGATTTGTCAGAATTGACAAGGTACTTCTTTTTCCTGAGCTGAAATTTCTTATGAAAATTTGCTACCTTATGATTTATTAAATATATATTTTAGAATTCTTTTAATTCTAAAGTTAAATTTCATGTTTTGTTTTTTTTTTAAAAAATGTTTTCCAGAAATGTATTTCCAGAAGGCCTTCCTCCATCATACGTATTTGTATCTACACAGCGATTTAAAGTAAAAAAAACATGGGATTTGTGGAGGATTCTAAGCTTGGATGGAACACCACAGATAGCTGTTACTGTAGTTGGAGAAAACAAAACATTATCATTTACTACAACAAGCCTAGTAAATGGCAGTCAGGTTGTTACTTTTACTGCACCCCGTGTAAAGGTAAAGAACCCATCATGTGTCAGCTGAAAAATCCACAACCATGTTATGTGTTTAAATGCAAGGAGATCCAATATTTCAGATCCATTTCAACCTAGATTTAGCCCCATGTTTGCAATTACATTCTGGAAGGTATCGTGCACTCTTATGAGATCAGATAAGCCATAAGGGGATTCTCCTGGAGGCATCATTTTTATTAAAGGCGTAGGTGACCTCAATGGCTACCAATGCTTTTTATCGGCTTACGATTGCTGTTGGCTTGTTCAGCCTATCTGAACAGAGATTGGTTTCATATCAAAGACCATTCTGAAGAGGATAGACTACCTAGAACAGAATGGGGTTAACTGCAGGGGTGACAATTTATTATGAATATGTCCCATTTTTTTCTGTATTGTTTTTATAGCTTTTTGATATGGTCAGATGACTAGTAAAATTTATTGCATTGGTTACATTGGTAATTTCTCAGTTGGATTGTATGCAGTATGTTGTACAAAGTGGCTACATTTGAAAGGGAATTGGAAATTTTATTTGTACAAATTTTACTTTTACTTTGTACAAATTTCCATTTCTAGACCCAAATCGTAACTATTAGTACTGATCTAAAAGCCTTAACAATTTGGAGCTAAAGTATATAAAATAATGCTGCCTCCAAGTTGAGAGCACATTGTCCATCTTTAGAATGCCTTTATTTATTGGCTAAATAAAGATAGGTCAATGCTACTTGTAATGGGGGCATGTTTGGAGTGACATAGATGTCTTGTTCATTCCAGGCTTATGCAACATTCTCCACCCAGGCATTTTGGTAACATAGTTTAACTTTGATTTTACTTATTAGACTAGGACAGTGGAGACCTAGATTCAAGTATCTGTAGGGTAGATCATAAAAACTTGATATCATATACAGCTTTCATGCTGTTGTTTTCAAAACCAAAAGGTCAGCCTGCTTTTCCTGTTTGTTTTTGATAGACCACCTCTGTGGGCGTGGACACCGTCTTCCAGATACTGCTGAGCCACATTTCCTAGCATCCCTCACTATTGCCTGTCCCAGCTTGGAATACTGGGAGGGGTAGTATTGCAACATCTGGAGGGCGTTAAGTTCCCACTTATATTGTATGATCCCTTGAAGGTCTTTAGCAAAGAATGGCAGGCTACTCATTCAAAATGGATATACAAACGTTTTATAAAGAAGATGGATATGTTATGCTATGCCTACATTCTGTCTTCCAAATAGACACAACTTGGCACAACTGCAATACACTGATTATCAATATTAAGAGTTTATTTTTAGAAAAAGATTTTTGAATCTCTCTGAGTGATTTTTAACATGAACATTGGGCTATAACATTAAGTTGTTGCAATTAATAATACTTCAAGGTTAGATGAATGACAGTGTAAACCTTGAAAGCATGTAAACCAATTAAAGAATAGGAACATAACTGTTCTGTACAGGTAGACAAGCATGCATACATTTACTGTTTTCTCCTGTTGTTTTCCTAGACATTGTTTGATCAAGGCTGGCATCAAATCCGTCTCTTAGTAACAGAAGCTGATGTAACGTTGTACATAGATGATCAAGAAACTGAAACAAAGCCTTTGCATCCTGTTGTAGGGATCTATATTAGTGGAGTGACTCAAATAGGAAAATATTCTGGGAAAGAGGAGACTGTGCAGGTATCCAGCTGCTCAGAATACAACTTTTTATGAAAGAGAGATAAATCTACCCGTGTTAGTTTAATAACCTGATCTCATAGCTTAAAATAAGGCCAGTTAAATTTAATGAACTTGACTTTGCAATGAATGAGTTACATCCACTGGTGGCTTTGATTTAGTGAAAGGCCCTTTTATTCATGTTAATACCAGTACCCAATTGCTGCTGTTTTCTTATACACATTTAAGCCCCTGCTGTCTGAGGGCAACAGAAGCTGTTCCTGAGGGCTGACAGGTCTTCTGATCCAGAATGGAGAGTTGCTATGGGTAAGGGGGCTTATCACTAATCAGGTACTTTGGCTAAAGTAATTAGGAATGACTTCTATGAGTGAGGCGGACACATCTCATGGCCTGTGGACTGTGTGACCCTCAACCTCACTTATGGCCTTCTAGCACTCTGAGATCAGATATTCAAAATTCAGCAGCAAAATAGTTGAAGTCTGGTGGCACAATTTTTTTTTTTGTTTTTGTTTCAGAATGTCTGGTGGCAATGGGCGTGGGATGAAAATTATCCACTTTTCAACCATTTAACTTCCGAGATTCTACAGGCTACTTTCAACCTGTCTTTTGGGGAGATTGGGTGATTGTGTGTTATTTGAGGGGGAGCCATGGGCATTAAGGATATAAATGGGAGAAGTTTACCTTCTGGTGGTCTCCATCTACTGTCCTCAGTGTTAAAACTCACTGTGCCTACCCACCCACTGCCACCCCAAAAAAGGAAAAAAAAAAAGAAAGGTTCTGGTCTAGCTCTTTAGTGATGTCCCCACTTCACCAGACAGCTTCCTGAAGCACCAACTCTTGAAACTTTGCCCCCAATTCCACATAATTGCAAAACTACAATCTAGTTTGTTTAGACTGGCATCCATCAGCAATTATTTCGTAGATTTTGTTCGTTTATATCAAAACTGGTACCCCATACAGTGGTACCTCGACTTATGAATTTAATCCGTTCCGTGACTCTGGTTGCAACTCGAATTGGTCGCAACACGAGGCAAATTTTCCCAT